GCAAAAAATATCGTATCGATAATTATAGAATGTAATAAAAAATATTTAAATAGCTTCATATAGTGATTCTCTAATGACATACTCCGCATTTTCTTCATGAACGATATACGTGATGAAATATAAGATTTTGAAATGGTAGTTTTTATTACTTTTTTTTAGTAAACATATCTCTGTATTGCATTTCAGTATTGCATCAGAGTATTACTTATTTTTTGTACAACATGCATTTACATTAATAAGAGAATTTTTAATATAATTAATGTTAATTTCGATCAATTTAAATTCATTTTTCATTTAATATTAATGAAAAATTATTCTTTTATTTTTAATAACATAAGTAACAATTAGCAAAAATTAAATTTTTTCACATTTATATTATTGGGTTACAACAATTACAATCTACGATAGCGAATTATTAATTATATATTCACATCTAAATATTTTTATGGATTTGCATACAAAAAGAACGATTTTGTTGAAATAATTATAAAAAAATTGGACTATATATACTATAAATACAGATCCGAAAACAATTTCATTTGAAGTATAAATTAGATTCTGAGCTTTGTGACAAAAAGATTATTTAAATAGTGCAATAGTATTTTAACATATGCATAAAGACACGTGATGTAATTAACATCATGTGGTTAAAATGTACAAGAATACTAATTTACAGAAAATATGCGATTTATTACGACGTAGAGAGACAAATTATCAAGTCGATAAACACATCTAACAATACGACGTGCTTAGAAAAATTGTGCATTGCTTTCAGTATTCTCAACGTATGCACTAAGATTATGCGGCAATAACGCCTTTAAATCAATCTGACGCGCGATGTCGTTTGTCGCGCAGAACATCACCGGTGCAATTTCAAAGTTAAGATACGTCAGATGTTTCCTCGATTGCGCCGTTGCTCCAGTAAAATGAATCGCCGTCGGTCAGGTCGACCGTTCGCATTGAAGTAGAACCGATTGCGCGAATAATCGAGAGAAAGTTCGAATTACGTTCCATTAGATTTTCCTGTTCGCGGTATAAATGTTAAATCAGACTTCTAAAATCCTAACGCCTTTAGAATCAGCCGTATTAACCACTGGTATTTGAACACGAGTAATACTTTCTACTGACATTTGAAATAATTCCCACAATTATTTCTGGAATTTTAAAAGCAGGAAACATACACATTTGATAATATATATTTGAAACGTTTGACATTTCAATGTTATTCACATTAAATATAAAATTAACCCGCAGCCACGACGTTATTCAAGGATGACAATGACTTTTTCCCGAACAAGGCTTACGTTTTTATCTCCCGAGGTTGAAATTCAATGTGAATAATTTTTTACCTTCGAGAAATAATTTCTTAATTCCATTCGCGTTTATCCTTCTTAAGATTTCTTAGATTTAACAACGAAAATTACCGAGTAACATAATGACTGGAATAAAACTGTGCAATTTGCATTACTCGTTTGGTATTCGCTCAGATAAGGTATTGAATAAACATGACATAGACATAGAATAAACGTGTATAGATTGCGTTCTCGCTTTCAATTAGTAAATGTTTACACGTAGAAGTGGAAACACACATGTTATTGCGTTTATCCTGAAATTAAACCTAGCACAGTCAATAACAACGAATTAATAGCAAGCATATCAGTTTTCCCAGGCATTTCTACCATTTGACACCCGCATCATTACGCCCTTTTGCTAAAAAATGGAAAAAAAATCACGAGCTGCGAAATGGACCAATTTTCAAAATACACACGATACGTGACATGTACGTTCCGCACATATAGTACTAAAAGGCGGTTAGCCTTTAGCTGATAAAACAGAAGAACGATATGAAAAACTGCGGAAAAAGCCTTGCGCGCGCGAGAAATAGCGCGGGAAAGTAATTAGCGGTTAGCAGGCCACGTTGTCGTTCTTCGTTCAGGACGGGAGGGGATTCGATTAAAATCGCAGTGACGTGCTTGCGTATCAGAGTCAGGCTCAGTTTCCTTTCCGGCGTCTTTCAGAATGACAACGGCGTCGTTGTCGCCGACGCGCGTCGAGATCTCGGCATCTCATTCTCGACTATCGTGGTAGTGACAGGTGCTCTATCAAGGTGAACTCTCGATATAATTATTTCTGCGAGTACACTTTCGCTGCGTGCTTCATGTATTTGGAGGCAATTAGACGAAATCTGAAGTCTATCATGAAATATATCATTTAAAATCATAATTAAAAGAACTTCCTAGAAGTTTCTATCGCATTAGTGTCATTATAGTTATCGACATAAAGCAAGTCAGGAATAACTCCAGTTTAAGAAAAGAAAAATTTCTCTGACACGGAAATTCATTTTAATTTCAGAATTCCATCTTTGACGATGCAGTGATTAATAATACCTATATGCATTATATATATGCATGCATGCGTTAATTTAAATGCGGCTATTAGAAAAATTAAATTATCATAAGCAATCGCCAGACAATAACGCTTAAGAAAATCTGCTTCGCAAAATTAGATTAGTGTAAGAGAATTAATATTAGAGCTTCAGACACGGAAATAAACAGGTAATAATAATCAATATTTATGCCATTGTAATCCCTTATCAAAACCACATTCGAAAAATATGATTCATACCATTATCCGTTCAATATCCATCAAATGGCATGATTAAGTAATTCCCGATTGCATTTAACTACCTTTCATGATTAAGTAACAGCTCGCTGATCAAGGCGAATTAAATCCTCCGCGTGATAATGGCATGTCATTGTTAAATCAGGTGTAACGACGTGATTGAGATAAAATATGCGTGTTCGCATAATGACTCTTATGTATATATCTGTCAATTAATCGGGTCGATGTTCGAGTTTCATGTTAGCGAATGCCCGTAACGCGTATGTGCAAAATGATTTATTATATTCGCTATGAGTAATGAAACATCGCGGTAGAGCAATAGCTTAATTAGCTGCACAATGGAAAGCCGCACCCGCGATTACTTTATATTATCAATTTAAAGGAAATACAATAATTCGATCATATATCGGTCGCTATTTATTTTCTAAGAGAATTCAACTAATTATTTCATAAATCTTTCAAATTTTTTGTTAATGAGAATGCAGGAGGTTATCATTTGTTTTTTTAATTTTTATTATTTATTATTATAAACATCTTTGTTATTTTCAAATTAAAAACATGTTTTCAATTCACTGATTTTAACATAAAATAAAATCTACATAGAACTAAATTAAAAACATATATATGAAATTAATTTCTGAATAATCATGCCTTTATAAATAGCTTGTAATTTAATAAACTTTAGTTATTGAATCGATTATTGTTTATATTAATAAAAAATAATACATTTAAAAAATAGAAATAATTATGTATAATAACTCAAAGCCAGCGAGTCCCTCGATTCGGGAGGCTGCGATTAACCATTCATCGACTACGCAGTTAAGATGAAATATCATGCACCTTCGGACGTGACGACCTTGGGGTAGTAACCGTGGGCCTTTCTTCTTGCTCTTCGGTGATGATAAGTGGTTGGACGATGGGAAATGTCTCGGTATAAATGGCAGATGCAATTTCTCGGTCGTGTTCCAGTCGTTTCGGCAACCTGTTTGAGCAAACAAAAGAGAACGTAAACTAACTGGTTTTTGAGAATTTGACCGGTTTTAACGAAGGTTTCTGTACAAGCTGCACCAAGTTCCAGAACCGGACTAGAGACTCAAAGGAGATTCTAGACCATTTAGTTTCTAAGTAAATTAAATACATGTTCTTTAGCGTTTAGCATGTTCGAATAAGCAGACCCTTTCCATTCTTACGAAAGATTACTGGTTCGCTCTAAGCTCGAATATCACAGCCGAATTATCACAAAAGGAAAAAGAGAACTGAATATTACATGTAATTATCGCAGTTACGATCCGTGTTATTAAAGCAATAAATCTTCGTAATTATCGTTGCTATGTACCAGTTGCATATTGCGCAACGTTGTACGTTAAATGTATTACCGTTTTCTCTAATCATTACGAAACGAAGAGAGATGAAATATTTTATAAAACACGATGTCTTATGACCGAAGAAAACATAATTTTTTAATTGTTGTAACAAGCACTATTATTAAATCATACTTCTATTTTAACAGCACAGAATTTTTTTCTAATACATCGAAAGTCAACAATTCAAACTTACATACTTGCTAATTAAAATTGATATTATTCTCATTTTGAAATATATACACAGAAATAGAAAATAATGCACGAAATGACTATTACGAAAATGACGATATTTGGACAATAACTAGACTGTAATGATTAAAAGGAATATAACAACAATTCGAATTTTGCGAAAATATTCGCTGTTGTGAGCCTTGAGTATATATAGCTGTGTAATAAAGTCACAATGTTTTTACAATTTAAAATTGTAAGAAATTATCTATTTTTTAAAAAAAAAGTTCATTGATTTCATTTATTTAAGATGCTCACGTAGAACAGAATAATTTATGTAAATACTAAAAACACATACACGCACACACATACAAGGCGGTTTGTGTTATATTTCGTTTTGATTATGTGCACCAACAAATGATCACTTCGTTGATTATTCCTATATTCATGTAAGACAATATTAAATCTAGTTTATAAATATAAATATACGGTTTGTTTAAAAATTTCGAGACTGATTTTTCCTGAACGTACAAGTAATGCCATTTTTTCAACAACGGCATTTTATATATAGTAATAATCGCTGATCAATTTTGAAAAAAAAGATGTTTTTTTCACCACTAGTAGTTGAGCTATCTAATTATTCTTAACCAGTGATTCGTTGGTGCACTCATTCAGATGGATATTCCATTTTGGAGAGCGAATCGTCAAAGTGTGTATGAATTCCACGACGATAAATTCATGTTAAGGAACGCGCTTGGTTCGGTCTTCGTCTCTTAATAGGTGTATTGTATTGGCCAGCCATAAACTGTCGCTTTGGGAGGCATCGCATCGCGTGCCACAAAGCAAGAGCAAGTGCTCTCCGACCGCGGCGGTCAGCGGTCATGCGTGCAGACGTAGCCGTTTACACGTGTGACTGTATCGCACCCTCAGTCGGGAGATATGTGGCGCGGAATCTAGTTAGTACCCTTGTTGGCTTTATCTCCGTTATCTCTGTTTGGCTCGGAGGTCGGCCATCTCGCCAGATTAGAAGGACAAGCCGCGCGCGCTTCTGCGATCGCGATAATTAGCAAAGATGGAATTTCGTATTTTCAATCTCCTGCATCTTCGTGTCATTTTAGCGTTCAAACTCAAACTGGAGAACACAAGACGGATAATATACATTTTATTCACCTATCTGATAATATGTTAATTCATTAATAAGCAAATCTTAAGAGTAGATAAAATCTGTAGATCTGCGGTATTGATTGCAACAATAATATGCGTTTACACAATAGTTATTTATAACTGAAAATTGAAAGAACAAGTGAGAAGTAACTCGTTTGCAAGTATGGCATAACAATCGCAATCATGTACGCGTGCTACTTTCGTAGCAATTGTTTTTCGTTTTGTTTAATCCATAGAACAAATCCGATAGAAACAATAATTATAAGCAAGAGGAACATCATTGAACATAATGGACCGCGGCATATTGCGGCAAACATTGATTGGTTTCATATGTAAGTATTCAGATGGAATTGCTCCGACGTCTGGACCTAATCTCTCGCGAACGATCTATGGAAAACTTACGTGTGATCACTTCTCAGGCAGTATTTTGATCATTGATTGCGGTCTCCATGAAGGATGGAGCACGCCGACCATACCGAAGTTCAATAACGGGGATCCTTTAAAGGTGACAACCAATGAGATCGCTTGGATCGTTAACCTCATGTATGTGGGAGTTGGCATCGGCTCGTTGGTGCCTTTCATACTGATGGACAACATCGGACGTAAGGGAACTTTACTAGTCACTACGATACCGAAGATAATCTCGTGGATCTTCATTGGGCTGTCCACATCTGTACCATTCATATACATTGGACGGATACTCGCGGGCATCGGATGTGGCATAACGTACGCTGTAATGCCGATGTATCTCGGCGAAATTAGCAGCAAGCGGACCAGAGGTCCTTTAGGTGCGATATTATCAATGTACAATGCATAGTCTAATTTTTATTGCTACTTTGACATATTTATCGTTTTAAATATAAATGTTAAATATTTATTCGTGCATATTATATTTGTTGATTGCAAATGATTTTAGTGGAATCTTTGTATTTTTTAAAAAAATTTACAAATCTGATGTTTTTTAAACTTAGTAGATACGATTATACAGTTAATGTTAACGATCATATATATATATTTATTTTGTTGTGCACACTGCACTTGGATAATATTGTTCACGAATAATTAGTATTCTTAAAAGACATCACTGAATGAAGCAAGGCCTTCAGGTACTTTAATGGCTGTTCTACTCAACATCGGGATGCTGCTAATCTACGCGATCGGCCTGTGGATCAGTCGATTCACGATGGCGATGATAAGTATGTGTGCGCCGGTGCTATTTCTATTAACTTTCATATGGTTACCCGAGAGCTCAGTGTTCCTCACGCGGAAAAATAGACTTGGACCCGCGGAGAAGACCCTTAAGTGGGCCTTGGGTAAAGAAAACGTAGACGAGGAACTCGAGGAGATCAAAAGAATCGTGGAGTCCGAGGACAAATGCAGCAAGTTGACTCTTAAGGAGATGTTCAAAGAGATTTTCACCAAAGCGCAGAACAGAAGAGCTTTTCGAATTGCTCTGATACTATTGAGCGGGCTGACATTGACCGGTGCGGCACCGATACTCGCATTCCAGTCGTACATATACGAAGAGGCCGGTTTCAAGATCTCGACCAACGCCAGCATCATCTTGACGGGTGTCGCCATCGTCCTAGCTGGCAGCACTTGCGTATCGATAGTGCGTCTCACAGGCAAGAGATTACTGCTGCTGATTGCCGCACCGATTTGCGTGGTATCGCTAGCGACGATAGCCACTTTCTTCGAATTGCAGTCCGTCGGATACGATGTCTCTCAATTCAAGTGGGTGCCCACGGTCTTCGTGGTGATTTACGTGCTCGGCTTTGGATTCGGTCTTAATCCGATACCGCTAGCGTATATCGGCGAGATCTTCGGCGTCGAGGTCAAAGTACCCGCTGCGGTACTCAATGCTCTCTACTACGCTATAAGCACCACCGCTATTGTGAAATTTTATCAGGTACGTTGACGTCTGTGTAAGAATCGATTTTGTTTTCGCGGACGACAGCACGGTAAGCGGGTTATCGACAGCAACGATCAGTTAAGAGGTTCAGCAAAAAAGAATTCTTTGCTTCGTAACAGTATTATACATATAGTATTATACATCACGGTACGATGCAGCATCGATTAATAGTCTTGACGGTCAAAAAGGAGTTTTTACCTTTAATAATATTAAAAAATACATTACGATGTACCTATATATAAATATGCAAATTACATGAATTTAGTGATGCAATCAATATCTTATCACCTAATAAGACTTGCATAAGAAATATTTTCTAAAATTAAATTTGCGATTTTAATTTTTTTTTGTGGATCGGAGATTCTGTTTGAAATCATCCTCTTTTGTTTTATAAACTGCTCGCTCAATTTTTATGCAATTTGATCTATGAAGTAATTTGATAATGCTTCATTTAAATTTGAGGTCAAAAATAAAAAATTCAAAATAATAGATTCAGTATGGCGGACAGAATTTAAAAAAAATAATTTGATTATCATAAAACTCGATTTTTAGGGAGTTTTTAAACTTGATGTCACTTTACAAAGTGACATCAAGTTTGCAGTTTCGCTTTATTTGAGGCACATCGGTGCTACGTAAATAGTTAGTACTGATTTTCAAACTGACTTCCGAACTGTGATTATGAACCCTGTGACACTAGATCCTCCTTCATGGAGATTACTGTCCTTTTGAAATTCGATATTTGTAGACTACATTCAAACTCAGAGATACCAAGAACCTCCTAAAACAGAGTTTCACAATCAATTTATTTTTTTGAAATTTAAATTTTAGAATTCTGAGGCCAGACTCGACTCAGTGACCCCGAAAATTTTAGAAAGTAAAATCCTTTAGAAAGTAAAATCTCCCATAAATTATTTTGTTAGAAAGTTCCAATTCTCAAAAGATTAATAATACCGGTTATTCGTTTTTTTACTTCAAACGTATCACTTTGATAAACAAAATTGCTCTGATTGTATTTGAAATACAATGTGAAATAATTTTTTAAACTTATATGATTTTTCTTCTATTACTTAATATCATGTAGCGAAATAATGTAACAGTAGGAACTATTTGTACTGTGTTTGTAGGTCATGCAAGAGTTATACGGCACATTCGCACCATTATGGACGTTTACTGCGATAACATTTCTTGTATGGGTATTAATTTACCTATTTGTGCCCGAGACCGAAGGCAAAACCTTGGAAGAGATACAATTGGAATTGCGGGGTAAAGAGTGATGTGTATCGACAAACTATTGTATGTAAAAAGAAAACATAAACAGGTGTGGCATTATATGAATCCAAAGATCGTTAAATCCGTATTTACAACGCATATCTAATACGAAATACTTGAATTAATTAATAATTAATTAATTTTCTCAATATTGACACACACATTCAGAGCCGACTATAAAAAGATTATAAAAAGAACAGGAAAATAATGTTCCTGTTAAAGTGTAATAATAGTTCGGCTTATATTCTTAAAATATGTTTTATCATTATACTAATCTATACTTTGACAACCAGATGGATAATTAGCAGTATTATTAATGTGGACAAGTTTTAATATAGAAAACACACAAGTAGCAAATTTCACTTGGAAAATAAAATTTATGGAAGTAGTGAGCTACAAAATAATTCAGATAAAACAGAAAATTTCAATTTTATTTAAAATTTTTATCGATGTATATATGTGTTGAAGAAATATTAGATGAAATCTATAAAAATTGTATTTATAAATTAATAAAATTAGCTTACAAAACGACAAAAGTTAACAAGGAAATGTTCATTTCCAATTTTGATGAACTAATATGTTATTATGTAATATGTTATTGTCTAGACTAAAATAAGGGACACATATTTTTTTATACGTGCTCGCTCATACGCACTTTTGAGGAATGAAACATTGATTTTGATAAAAATCGGTCAGTTTTTGTCGAAGCGAGTGTAAGAGAGGAAACATATTGTTAATAAAAATTGAAGTTTCTCTCAAGAGTACTTTATAATAATAATTTAAAAAATGTTTTAATTTGTTACTTCTTTATAAATAAGAATTTTTTTACTATTATTATGAAGTATTTTTGAAACCATTTAACTATTATTAAAAATGTTTTTTCCATCTATTATATATAGTTTCGATGATATTCGCTTCAACAGCAACTAACGATTTTTATTTTACCCGTTTAAAAGTGCATATGGACATGTATAAAAAAAATACATGGGGTAGGGGGGCTCTTATTTTAGTCCAGATTACAACATATTAAAAATTCATCAAAATCGGAGGAAGAGAAACTTCCTTGCTTCTTTGTAAGTATAATTGCCTTTACCGTTTCTGTAAATTTTAATTAACATTAGCATAGGTACATATTACTATTTAATTTAATTTTTTCTCGAGCAATTGAATAAAATTTTAAATCGTTTAGCGTTCATATTGATGTACATTATATATTACACGTTTTTAACAATATTTATAATTATCATAAATATTTACGTATTTAAAATCACATTTAAAATCCAATTGGCCTCTCATTATATTTGTATGTCAAAAAGCTTTTTCCACTTAATCATTTATTCTATGTGTTTTGCTTTACAAAATCGTAACGTCGATAATGGCGTTAAATCGCATTTGGAGATGGTGAAAGCACTAGGGAGAAACGACGCGAGGGAAAATCATTGATCTTGTTTGATCGTAAAGCTCTAACTCCGCAAAGAGAATCGTTTAGTAGTGATATCGTGTACGACGAGATTCGTATGTTCGATCGGACAAGTTAAGTTCTCATTAAAAACACATTTGCAATGTGAATTTACTGGCCTCGCTCTCTCTTCTTAATCCTATCTTAAAGTCTACTATTTCAAATATATAAATATCTCCCGTTGCGCGTTGCTAAATATTATCTTAACATTTGTGTTAGGATTGTATAAATAGAAAGATAATTATATTATTCAATTTGACCACATAGGGTCTCTATTTTACTTGATTACATTGTATGTACTACGACCATGTTCTGACGGCGTATAATTATTTCGATACTCAAACATCAAATCCAAATATTGCCAAATATTATTGTCTATTATAAAGTGTTATTCAAACTCTTGCAATATACCTTGCTTTACGCGTGTGAAATGTTTCGATAAAGTTTACATTTTGTTCGCGTAAAAGATCGAGAAGATTTGTGTTAACGACGAAATGGCTTCTAAATTTTTCAACCAGTTTATCCTTATGCAGAAATCCATCGTATTTACAAGCGATAAAGAATGCAATATTTCCTGAAATCGGTCCTCTCGTCGTAAACTGCCGAGTGATTCTATCATATGACCATCTTGGCTACCGCTGATGATGGCTCGTCAGCCTCGGTATACGACGGAACATTGGTAGGACGTGTACGTTGGACGACACGTCTTGCATACGCTTGTTGGCGTTTCTCTCCGACGGAATGTCCGGACATGTATATCGCTCACGTACGCATCACGTATATTTACAATTACAATACAACGCGGAAATGCATTTGCCTATATGCACGTATAACTGTTTATCCGTCGATACCCTCTCGCGTCATGTATTAGTCTGAACATGTGTGTTCAGAATACACAAATGTGGATTTGAGCATAATTAGATTTAATATTTCAATGTGAGAGTATCTATCTCATATCTCTGTGCATAGCAGAATAAAAATATGAATTGATACTATTGATAATACTGACTTTGTATTCGTAACGCCGAAAAAGTTTAAGTCGAATATAGAAAGATAAACAAGCGTATAGTAAGTAGAGTAAAAAAATATTCTATAATAATTCTGAATGTATGTGTGTGTGTGGGTGTATCTATTATTTAACTTTAATACCTATTATTTTTTAATTAGTAACCTCATAGTATATGCCTAGTAATTGTATAATAAAAAAATAATTTTATATAATGAAAGAATTATTAAAAAATAAAATATTTTTCTATCTATTGTTTTTCTATTTATAGTTTGGTGTCTCTAATGTAGTAATCTGCGCGACTGCTTAGTTAGACTATCATTAAAATCACGTCTATAAATATGAAGAGATATAGAATTACAGGATGCTAGAAGAACGAGAAATAAGATGTATACTTTAATTTTGTGCGTTGTATGATTGCGAATTGGCTAACGATAGTAATAAACATAATGGGTGAGTATCAGGAGATTGAGCAAAGCTGTGAGTGCAAATGTCCATTGACCTCGTACATTCCACATACCCTGATCTTATGAGCCATCAGTATGACTTGGGCTGCTCTACGTACATATCTACTGATATATATCCATACGTACCTAGTATCTGTTAGGGTGTACGTTCACCCCAAGTGTGTGCATTAATGATACGCGTGTGTATTAGTGCTCCGTTCCACATATACATAGATATAACTGGCAGGTACATACATCCCCGTGCACATATGTAGAAAGAGAAAGAGAGAGAGAGAGAGAGAGAGAGAGAGAGAGAGAGAGAGAGAGACAGAGCAGAGAGAGATCCTTCGATAGTATGCGTTGTATCGCGCGAGTACGAGCCTTCGTATAAGCTGAGATCAAGATTGATAGGCTACGAGTCGCAACACATACGGGGCATCCACTTAGCGGTGCATTATCCGAATGAGAATGTGTACAGGCTGGATCTTACCTTACCTAATGCGACGCCCGCAATCCCAGTAATGGCGACCGCTTTGGCCGTCGCGCGTGGCGATCTTCGCCAATCGATAACATTGCGCGCGTGTGTGTACCGAGTATTATGTGCGCTACGCGATTATTTCCATCCGACAAATGCGGAAGGAGCTGTTCCTGTGACCTTGCGAACCATAGTCAGGAATAGGTCGATGGAAATTAACAGAACGAAAATACGTGCATGCTATCCGAGGCTATTATCTCCCATTTATGATTACGTAAACCGAAATCCTATGTCAGTCACGTAATTATTTTTTGACATTATTCCATTGCAAATGAGATTTTAAATTCTAGCACACGATTTTTGTTCTTGGTCTGAGCTCTGTCGTTGTGCACTTGAAAAAGCACACGTTGGAGTAAAAGTTCACGTTTAAAATAAAGTAAAGACAAAAAGAAAGGAAAAAGAAGAGAAAGAAAAAAGAACAATGAGGAATTGAGGGAAGAGGAAGTAAAATGGAATTCTCCGGAAAGGACATGTTAGAGAGAATACATACTTTGGCATGTGGCAAAACGTTTTTGCTAATGGCACTGCATCGCGAAACTAAAAAATTATGTGCTTTTTCAGGAGGTTATTATTATTAAATTGCAGCTGCGTACGCGACTGGTGTGCATAAACGTACGCGTATGCTCGTGAAAAGGTTATCCTGCTGTATATCGCGTAAAAATATTTTCCAACAAGACACAAAATATTGTACAATATTAATATCTCCTTATAATATTATATTACGTTTAAAATCGATTTAGAACTATTTTATTAAAGTCATTTATTATTAATCTTCATATAAATAGTATATAATTATGTAACAAAATGAACGCAAAACGCTTCGTGTATCATATTCCAGGAAATATTATTATAAATTCACTGTGACGTAAAAAATTAATTAGATAATGCGACGGTTTCCACTAATTGCTAAAGTTTAATTATAGTAGCCACTGACTCATTAAAAATTGCAAATATACGATGCATTATTATAAATTTTTTGTAAAATTAATATCTTTTTATTCTACTGCATAAAATAATCGGTAAATAAGAAACAAAAAGTGAGCATTTCATATTTTATGCTGGAATAAGTAGATTACGTAATGATTACACCTTTTATGTAATACTAATGTTCCATGGTACGCACGCATGTCTATTGCATCATTGAATAATTTATAATTTTATTGCGAAATTCATATTTGCTTGCTTATCGCACAAGTTACATAATTATTCTATACTTAATGTATGCATACTGTTAATAGCAAAGGCAAAATACTTGTAATAGACCTTGTAAATCATTATTTAAAAGGTGTTAAAAATTTGAAAAGTAATTGATTTAAGATAATTTAGAATTCAAAGAAGAATGTAGAATTCAAAAATATCAAGAATTTTGTGATCATTTTTGCGGTTTATTATAAAATTTGTTCCAAAGTTCGAAAGAACCCGTGTCCAAATCGGACAGTATAACTTGTAGGCCTGATTGTAGTACTGGTGATCGGCTGACCAGACCTGGTCCAAGCAATTAAATCAGTAAAATATCATGAGTCATCAGACTCACATTAGTTGAGCTTTATTGATTTCAATTCTAATAATGTAAACAGTCAGTAATTTCTTTTTCCGAAAAAATTTTTATCTTTGACTGTCAAATTGCTCGTTTTTACTCAATATACTAAGAAAAATATATTAAAATATTTTAAAATTCTTTATCTAAAAATCCATAAAATAGGAGTTTTCGATCTGAACAAGGGGATGGTCCGATTTGGAACCATCGGTTCCAAATCGGACCGAAAAAAGCGTTTTTATATTTTCCATTATAGTTTAATACAGGTGAGAGATACGTCAAAATGATCTGAAGCAAAAATGAAGGGAATTAAATGA